TTAATGATGTACTGAATAGTGTACCATTGATGATTCTTCAGAAATGACCTGTGATTAAAAAATAATGTAAGAAAAGTAGCATCATTGGAACACATAAGAATGGGTAGCACACTATAGCTGACAGGAAATTTACTTTGTATCTTAAGATAGCCAAGGATGCTTTTGTGATGCCCCGATTTTCAGATGCCCAGTACTTTTAGGAATATATTATGTGTACATTGTGTTTATATCTACTGTACATGCTGAATGAAGTAAAATCTTTCCCTTCTGGTAAAGAAATTTCTTCAGAGCAAGCTTTTTTTTTTTTTTTTTTTAAGAACTTTCTAAGTCTTTGAAAACATAAGAATGTAGTAAAGAACTGGAGGAAGGAGTCCACAAATATAAGATTGTCCAGTGTTTTCTAATGCTACAGAAGAATTCCTAGGACCTGCTGTTTTCTGTAAAATAGCACTGAACATAACTTTTTCTTTTTTTAGGCTTAGAGGTATTGTTTGTCAGAAAGCACATAAACAACCACAGATACTTGCCATGTCTAATGTTATTCTATTAAAACAGTTTTCTTATGTTTTAATAAAAATGTAACCTTTATAATAAGAAAATGTTAATCATCTAGTTTTCTTTAAGAAGATTTGGTATTTAATCAGTATCCTCCAGAATCATTCCTTTAAGACTTGTGTGACAAACTGAGAAATATATTTGCACACAGTGGGTAGCCAGTAGGTTTTCTGCAGGGGGTTTCTACTGAGAGCTGACAGAGGGCATCTTGGCAAGTGTTCAGAAACCTGCATTAACTTGGTTGGGCCCTGCATGGAACCTCATGTTCAGCAGAATTCTTCTGACCTGCCTCTGCATGCCAAGCTAATCAGCAAACACCTAATGAGCCCACTCCAAAGAAACAGATCCTCTCCCAACCTACTTCATTTTCATATGTTCTCTGGGGGTGGGGAGACAAGACTTCATGAGGACTGATGATGCTGCAAAGACCACAATAATGATAATTAACTTGCTGAATTTAGAAGATTATGCTGTTAATTAGTTGCAAAATAAAGATAAGTAATAGAGCAGCAGATGGTAGGATAACACCCAGGAGAAGGAGGGTTATTACTCTGATGAGCTTTTGTGGCACATATGAAATATGGATCTGACTTTTTCATAAATTGTTTCTAGAGAACATTATCTTTTTTCTTTGAACTATGATGGAGTAGTTTGTTCCTACTAAGTTATGACAAATGTGATAAAATTTATTTTCAAGTGTGTAACATACAGCATTATAGAACTTGAATAGCAAATTATTTTAACAGATTAACTCTTAAAATGAAGGTGTCAGGTTGGTTAGCACAACAAACTGTTCATCCTTTAATTAATTGACATAGTCTGTATCTCTCTTAGAAATGAAGTTTTTCAATATAGTAAACTGTTGCTAAAGATTAACACTAAACATTGAAACATTAGTCTGCTTCTTAAAAATATAGTGATGAAATCATTTTAGTTTTCTCTCAAAGAATGTAACCTTTAATTTAAAATTAAAACATGCCTAAGTTTTATTGTACGTGTTGGAGAATATAGACCTTTTAATCTTATTTAATTTCTCTGAGTGCTCAATCTTATATTAAATCTCTCAGTTGAGAGAAATTTTTATCTTAGTAATGGACTGACCGATGTCTCATACCCAATTTATCAATTACTAATATACTTAGGGAAACCCTGGTAGCATATTGGTTAAGTGCTGCAGCTGCTAACCCAAAGGTCAGCATTTTGAATCCACCAGGTGCTCCTTGGAAACTCTGGGGGGCAGTTCTGCTCTGTCTTGTAGGGTCTCTATGAGTTGGAATCGACTCATCGGCAACGGGTTTGGATTATTTAATATACTTAGAATACTTAATACTAGACAAAAGCTCTAGTTTGGCGAAGCTTTTGTTTAAAATATATTCAGTGAACTGGGAGTCAACAGAATTTCTGGTACTCTGTTTCTCACTCTGTTATTCTGGGAAGAAACTTCACTCTCTAGGCCTTAGTTCTTCATTTATAAGACGACGATTAGATTAGTTGATTTCCAGTATCTCTGCTAGCTCCAGAATTCTGTTGTAAAATAAATGCCCATTATAGTTTATGTTTGTTTTCAATTCATCTTTTTTAAACCAAAGTGTTTAGCCTTCTTTAAAATGTCCCTAAAAAATATATATGGTTGGATTATAAGTAGCCTTATATTAGTTGTAAAATTTATATGAATAATACTTAGTGACTGCTTTTTCACCTAGTTTATTCTGAATTTTTTAGCATAGAAGTATTTTTGTTTTTAAGAAATTAATCACAACTAAAAGTAGTATTAATTAACCCTTAAAATCCTTTTGGTACATAATATACCCCGTGGCACACTTTCTAAGTCAGACTCAATGTAATCAATGTAACAGCATGTAGCAAACATTAGATCTTCCTCACTCAATGGTACTGTATACCCTAGAGCAGTCAAGAGAGGATAATGAATGAATACTGATGCTGCTTGTAAGTGCTCTATAAGGTAATAACTTGCCCTACTAAAGATTATTCAAGAGAATGGTGTTTATGTACTTCAGACTCCCCTATGTGCAGTTACTGTATTTCATTAATTCTAAGAGTTAAGCGGTTCACTGTAAGACTTTAAATGCTCTTCAATTCTGTGGTGTTTTCTACCTAAGGATTTCAAGATGTTTTGCCAGCACATAATTTACCAAGCTTCAGTTCACATGTTGACCTCTAGTTATATTTATGCACACTTCATACCCACAAATGAAAGCCCCAACTTATCATTATTTTATTATGTATTTTGATGTCTAACATTCTGTTTTTAAAAGTTATAAATTATGAAGAGTGACCACCTCCCCAGATTCTCCTCCTTTTGTTCTGGTTATATGACCCTCACTTTCTAACTCCCATCTTTCTACTTTTAATTCTTCTTGATCATTTATCTTAAGTATTCCTGATTCCAGCCAACTACTGCTTTGGGCACACATCTAATTTCAGTGTGAGTCCATCCAGTTCCAATTATCCCATCAGTTATGAGTGTCCCAGTTTCCTGTGTCTTAGATACTACCGTGGTTTTTTCTACTTGTTGGCCATCATAGTTTCCATCGTCAGCTGTGAGACATCATTTAGCAATTTAACACTAATTGCTCTGGGTGCTATTTTCTGTAGTTAGGTCCCTGTATATAATTATTGCCTCGGTTGAAATCCTGGTGACCTTTTAATATGTGCTCTAGTTTTTAAGGGATCTAGATCACTTATACTAGAAGGTAAGAAGAAATACATAGATGAAAATAAAGAAATTACAAATTTCTGAATACTTATAAAATTTTCTAAATTGTTCTTTGTTGGAATGAATGAAAGCAGTTGTAGCAGAGTCATTTGGGGGCCTTTTTCAAAAGCTCTTCTTTTACACCCAGTCCTTTCTGTGGTACTCAGGGAAGAAGGAGAGGGAAGGTTGCCAAGATATGTGTCCTTAATACACACACCCAGGTGTTTATTTACTTCTAAAAAGTTTGGGAAACATTGAATAGACTGCAGCACAGTTCTCATGTCTGTGTTTTGTAGCCTCCCTCCCCCAAATGTGCACCTGAATGTAGATCTTAGGAAAATGTAATAGACATATCTCTGAATCAGATTTTTGTGATGAAACTTTATTTTGGGCTCAAGAACTGCATTTCAGTTATTATAGACAATATCAGCAATAGTAGTCCCAAATCTCTTCAGTCCCAGAGGTCTCTTTCAGCATTAAGATACTACAGTGTGATTATTTTGTGCTATTTACTTCATATTTACAGGTCATAACGATAAAACCACTCCAAAGATCAAGTGTTTATTTTCACCAAAGAAACCAATTTCTGCCAGTTAGTAAATACATTTCTTGAGCCCCTACTGTGTAGTAAATCATTGTAGCAGTTGCTAAAAGGGATGCAAAGAAGCAGAAGACAATCTCTGCTCTTGAAGGAGTTTACTGTCTGGTTGGGGATATAAGATATTCACATATGACAAATTTTTGCTGACAGAATAATAAGCTTCATTCAAGTTGTGTGTTTTTATAAAGAGGTAACCTGAAATATTTAGGATTTCATTCTAATACTAGATCTGTCATACTCTGAAAGTAAAAAACCAAACCAAAACCCTTTGCCATGGAGTCGATTTCAACTCATAGCAACCTTATAGGGTAGAGTAGAACTGCCCCACAGGGCTTCTAAGGAGCAGCTGGTGGATTCGAACTGCTGACCTTTTGATTAGCAGCCACAGCTCTTAACCACTGCACCACCAGGGCTCCACTCTGAAAGTAGATCAGGTACAATTCATTTAATTGGCAAAATGGAACACAACGAAAGGGATAGGCCTGGAACTAGATCTGCTTACTGGGGGCAGGGAAGACCTAAGGGAAGCAAACCCAGCTGTGGGCTCTAGGAGGTTCAGTCTGACAGGGAGCACAGTGACCTAAAAAATGGCAACATCAGGTCATCGTCCAGGAAAGCACATGGTATCAAATATATAAGCAGAGATTAAATGGGACCAAATCTGGCAAAGAAGAGATTTAGGTTGAATGTAGGCAGGGCCTGAGAAGATGAGGATAATAGAGTATAGGATCGGAGAGGAAGAGAATAGGTAGATGTGTACGTAGTAATTGACTTGTGTTGCTTGCTTTAGTTGAATGAAGCTAGTTATTTTCAGTCTACTGTGTTTTTATTTTTCACTCTTTTCCCAAAATTGACTAGGAACAGGAAATCACGGAATCCTCTAGTAGTATCAGACAAAGACTCATGGAAGGCTTCCAAAGATCCTGTTGTTTGTCTTATTCATATTTATAGTGATCTTAGGTGTACAATGAAATATGGTAAATCAAATTTGAATTTTAAAGCTGAATGTGTTTATGCATTCCTTAACAACTATCTTTTTTGGTTAACTAATGAAAGAGTATGTGAGGAGTAATCAGATTGAGGTGAAAAGCAGGGGCCCTTTTTTTTAAAATGTTGTTTGTATTTCAGAGATTAAAAGCTGCTTTGACCCAGCAGCATCCTCCAGTTACCAATGGAGATACTGTCAAAAGCCACAGCAGTGGATTGGTTAGGACCCAGTCAGAGGAATCTCGACCGCAATCATTGCAGCAGCCAGCCACATCCACTACAGAAACTCCGGTATGTATATAGTTTTTATCATTCAGCACTCTGTTGTCACCCTTAAAGAAACAAATACATTATAACTTAAATGACTACTTTATGTACTTAGAAAAATTTTATTTCTGGTTATATTTTTATTCCAAAAATGTATCAAAGGCCTTAAGAAAAGATGGTGGTGGTGGTTGTTATTGTTAGTTTTCATCAAGTTGATTCCAACTCATGGTCACCCCATATGTGCAGAGTAGAACTGCTTCATAGGGTTTTTAATGCCGTGAGCTCTTGGAAGCAAATTGCCAGGCTTCTCCTCTGAGGTGCCTCTTGGTGGATTTGAACCGCCAGTCTTTCAGGTAGTGCTCAGGGACTCCAGTAATTCAGTGTAAAAGTATTGATACAAAATAGTTGAGCAGTTGTTACTGTTAAGGACACCCTGTAAATGTTTCTGTGGGAATCTCTACATGTTGGTCTGGCATGGCACAGGACCCATCAGTACTCTTTAAAGAAAACATTTTTTCCAGAGCAGTGAAGCTGAATGCTGCTTGAAGAAACTTAGTTCATTCTCCATTGCTTTATTGAGGATCTTTGTAGAGTTTGTGACTTGCCTCTTTGGAAAGTTGGTTCCATAACTAGAAAAATAGTATTAGAATCTTACTTTGAGAAAAGCAGAAAGTTTTCTTTTAATGCTCTTTTGATTATTTTCAAATACTACTGACTTGTCATAAAAAACAAACCATAACTCGTATTAGCATGAGATGTTTTCCTTGCGATGGTAAATACATTTGATTTGAACTGTGCTCCTATACAAACTGAAAATTTAGGGTACGGAAAATTTTAATAGACAAGTTCTGAATATGTTATAGACAGTAGCAACTTATTTGATGTTGTTGAGGAATGTGATAGTCTTCAGAAATGTAGGTAATTAGAGCTTATGTTTCTTTTCAAGTAGCAAAACTAAGATTTTTTTTAAGAAAATCTTGCTCTCTTTTTAAGATTATTGTTGATTTTCCTGTTTCCTAAAATGGCATATAGTCGTGATTATTAAGTATGTTATATTCTAGCATTGTGATGTCCACTGTACCTATTCAGGTGTGTAGGACTCTTAACCGTTGTTCTGAATGTCCCAAAGAGGCAGACATTTTTTTCTTTAGTAATTCTTTTTTCTGCTTTTAATATTTCTCTGCTCACTCATTGTCAAACATTACTCCTTTTTAATTTAATTTTTATTTTTTTGATATCTGCTCCCCTATGTAACCAATACCCTGCTTATAGGAAATCAGAAATCTTCTAGAGAAATAACATAGGTACAGATTTATAGATATACACACACACATGAATATGTATGTATATATATATATTACATTACTAACATAGTCAAACAATTCTTGAGTTAAAACTTGTGAAAGCATCACCAAAGGAACAGATTAGCTTTATGGCAGCTGTTTAATTCTAGACGCCCATTTTACTTAACCTCTAGTTTGTGATTGCTTATCAGATGATTGCTCTTTTTATATGTCTCCTTCAGTGAAATG